TTTTAGCTATTTGTCTCTAGTATTTTAAATAGACTGGAAAATATTTTTATAAGTTTGAAAATAATTTGCTCACACTTTTTCTGCTTTTTATATATTATTTTGCAGAGGTCATGCTTTTTTAATATATGCCAATTTCTAGGCTGAGTTTGGAAAGGAAGTTACATTTAAAACCAAGATTGTGCTTACTATTTTTCATTCATTGTATAGTATTATGATTTTAATTGATAAAGTACATTTTATTATATTGGTTATATTCTTCAAATTCCAGATGGTCTTTATTTGTGACTCAGGTAGGTACTGTTATGAGTATTTTCACAGACATTTTAGAAATCGAGATAGCCTCCTGCCCTTTGGAGTAAAACTGTTTAGCTATCACAGGATATAATTTTAGAGAGTCCACAGGGCAATGTGCAATATTTGAAAGAGCCCATCTTATTATTCAAAACCTTTCACAAAAGTTAGAGGATTTATCCTAGTATTTCCTCACCTTGGACAGTCTACAAAGCTTTGAAAGGTTTCAGAAAACTCTGACATTTGGAAATAGAATAGATTGGGGAGGTAAAGAAGCTTTGGTAAACAGGCAAGAACCCATGATTATCTGCCCTTTTAATGCTGCAGATGATGTCATAGAAGTTCAGCAAAGTGTTCTTTTTCATTTACAACCAGGAAATCCTGAAATCTCTTCCTTTAGGAGGATCTGAAATCAAATAAGGCCAATTCAGTGAAGTTCACCAAAGCAAATAGAAACTTATTTAAAATCTTCCCCCCTCCAGAAGTCATTGCTGGAAGTTATAGAAATCACTATTTCTTTGTCACCAGAATTTGAAAGGAGGTGCAGTGACATCTTGTATCTGAGAAGATGGTTTCATCATTATCAGTTGGGTTAATGTTTTAACTCCCTATCGCTGCTCAGCCTTTTGGCTAAGATCAAGTGTAATGTTTTAACTCCTTTTCCTCATTAAAGTGACTGAAAAGTTCTATTTTGTAAATCCACTCAAATATTGGCATGTGTTAAAATATCCATTAAATTTCATCTAGTCACGCAAAATAAATTACAAAATTGAGTCACATCCAAATTATTCTGGAGTAAACTGTTTTTGCTTCAGTTAATGAACAGTTTTGATTTCCAGACTAGGATTATCTAGATCACTCCAGCTTTTCTTTTAGTTTGTGCCCTAAAGCTTTATTAGAATAAGTCCATGTTCTAGGGGAGGGGATGAGAGGGAGGCTTATTAAGGTTAAGCAGGTTAACAGGAAAAATCCTTTTAATCCTCAGCATATCATCAAAATATTATAATACAGTCAGATTTCCTCATAATTCTATTGGGCTTACTGTAGCTGAACCACATCCTCTTTTTTGACTGATATCAATCCTTAGTAATGCCAAAATTAGGATGGTAGCAGTGGCAAACACTGAGAGAAGCTTTCTGCAACCTGTAATCTCAGCTAATTACAGCATCATAGTCATTAATTTTCTGTTGGCTGTGATTTTTTTGTTGCCAAAGGCACCTTTCTGAGTGATTGAAATAAAGAATAAGGAAGAATTTGCTATGACAGTCCCCCATCACAAGTAAGGGTACATATCAGAACCTTGGAGTGGCTAAAGGTAGGTCCTGGAGGCATGGGAGTAACCCCCAACCATGACTTACCAAATTTACGATAGAATAATCAGCCTCCCCCAGTCCTCAGTTTGTTATAGTTTCCTGACATAGCAGAGGCGTGTACATCAACCCTCAAAGCTGCACCAGATTAGATTACAAAATCTGGTTGATTAGATTACAAAATCTGCCATCAGCAGAGACAATTGTGGATGCCACTGTAAGTGGGGAGATCTAGGAATACTGATCATGTCTTTATGTTTTGCACAATTTGTACAGCATGAAGAAGCAGGCTGATGGTGAGTTTTCGTGACCACCCAAGATGACCTAGCTCCTGTGGGAACTTGGTCATAACCCTCTAGTCCTAGGAATGGGCTAGAAGAGCACCTCTGGGGAAGGCCAGTTTTATGTCATCTAGAGAATATTACCAGAAACTAAGGTTTAGTATTCAGTGAGATCTTCATTTCAGAAAAGGATTCTCTTTCTTCCTCCATCGAAGCATAAACACACACCAAGACAGAGAGGGAAAGAGATGACCCCCCTTTCCATCAGCTTTCATTCACTGTACCATAAGGATTGAAGGAATATTTGAGAAGCACAGACACTTAATCTAAGAATGGCCAGGTAAACTTTTGCCATAGGAAGTATAACTTCTAAGGGAAAAAAGAGAAAATGAACGAATAAAGATCTACTCTATTAAATGGTGTTAAGTGCTAATAAAGATCAGTAAGAATGAGTCATGGAGAAGGGAAATTCATGATGTAGGGATAAGATGTTGCTGTTCTTGTACATGGTGGTCAAAGACATCTCTCACGAGAGATCTGAGGTGAGTAAGAGATAGAGTCACAGGAAGGACCCTACCAGGAGGAAGGAAGGGCGGGCACAAGGGAGCTGGTGGTGAGCATAAAAGCAGCAAAGAGGACAGTGTGCTCCAGCAGGCCAGGCTGGAAGGAGGTGAGCCAGGGTGAGAAGGGGCCTGTGCAGAGGAGCCGTGGCATGGAAAATTGCTAGAGCAGATCAGGGCCAAGTCCTGACTTCCTGCAGGTTCCCTCTGGTTCTGGGAGAAGCTACAGGAGGGTAGCAAAGGCTATAGCAGGGAGCTGGGGTACGAGGAGGAGAAAGAGGAGGCAGCTTGGACCTGGGAGTGACAGTGGATGGGCTAAGACATCGTCTAGAAAGACAGCATCCACCCCGCCCTAAGGACTCTGCCTAAACTCTGTTTCCATTTCTTCCCTCATAGCTTGAATGCAGTTTGTGCTATGGTGAATGTTCTTCTGACTTTTTAAAAGCAAAACATCACAGAGCAGAGTAAAACATAGCTTCTAGTATTTCCTGGGACTATCATAATAACTGCACTCATTAAAAGATAACTCGGTGTCTACAAACTGCATTTCCAAACTTGCTAAAATGTGAATTATGCAACTATGTAGGTGCCATTTTAAAGACCTACTTAGGACTAACTCAGTGAACCACAGCTAATCTGCCTATCTTGTGAATACATATTTAGGGATCTTTAGTGTGTAGATTATTGACCCACTAGACCAAAACAGATCTGACTATCTTGTAAATACATATTTAGAGACTTTTTAACATGCAGATTATTCTACACAGATAGATTGTAAGCACTACCCCAGAGCCATGGTGGATAACAAAATGCTTCTTTGGAGATATTATAGTCCATGTGTCAATGTTATGGTGACTCTGGTGTGTTACAGACCTCTATGAAATTTTAATGATACCCATATCTCTCCATGACCTATTGCTGTTTTTCCTAAAAAAATTATTTGATTGATTTAAAATTTCCCTATAGTGCTGCAGAAAAGTCTCAGAGGACCAGTCTACATTAAAAGACTCACAGCTTGAAATTTGTTCTCTTTAAAAAATAATAGCACTTGTTCTCTAATTAAAAATGATGAATGATTTTAATTTTATTTTTCGAAGAAAAAAATTAAAGTATCAAAATTTAAAAAATGCACCCATCCTAAGAATCTGGGTACTCCCTGCCACCGGATATCACTGAAGATTAAGCTTTTCTTCTTTATTTTCAACTTGGTTCCCTTTTTTTCCTAGAGCCAGCTAAAGGTTGAAATAAATCATGAATAGCCCTTAGCAAGTCAGAGGCAGATCTCAAATCCAAGCTGTCCCAGAAATAATTTAAAGGGAAAGGCTTTGAGAAATATAGAGCTCTTTTGCCTACCTCTAATAAAGATGTGTTTGCCACTGCCTACGTGCAAATAAGAAGTTGAAATTTTTGCAGTATTTGCCATGGACTCTAAAAAATTAGTTCTGATGGATGAGTCAGAAACCAATAAGGGCAAAATTTTAATAATATAAAACATCACATTAGCCAAGACAAGAAAATAATTTAAGCAGCATTGCCAAACTTTCAAATTTTCATCACTTAGATATGCTATTTGGAATCATTTATACTTTTCTTTAATCAGGCTGAAGTAATATACATAAGAGCCTGAATTATATACCTTTTATGTATCTATTATCATAAATATAGAAACAAAATGAGTTTTGAAATTTGTTTATATTGGTATTAAGAGTGGCAAGCAGAGGACAAGTGTATGTCAAAATCTGTGTACATATTAACCAAAAACCATGTACTTGAGCCAATGTTAATAACTAGGAATGAGCATTTGGCATATTAATTAGCTCTCTCTTGGCAGCCATTATGCAAAGTATAACCAACCCTTGTGCTGTTGCTAAGAAGTGTCATTTTGCAAAATGTATTTCCTGAAGCTGGATCCCTGCAAATATGCACAGAATATTTGTGAGAAAAATAAAGTATATAATCTCTCTTATATAGTTCAAGAAAAGAGAATTATGAATTAGAGAGTTTCACCAAACATACCCACAAAAACGAAAAAGAGATCAGTCAGATATTTTTGAACAGCTTCATGATTTGTGAAGCCATCATAGAGGAAAATCTCCCTAGTGTGCATGTGTAGAGCCACAGGGATCTTTTTGGGCTCTGAGGGGATAGTTTTTCTTCCTTGTTTATCACTGGACCACATCACCTGTTTTGGAGTGGGAGCACAGTAAATATTTGATGGAGGAATAAATAAGGATTCCCATAGCTGTCTGTGTGGACCAGTCTAGTCCCTTCCCTCCTTTCTGCATAAGGCAATTGCAGGAGAACCC